CAGACCTTCCCAGGGGCAAATGTGGCATCAGCCTCACTCTGACCCCTAGTGTGAGCTTGTGCTGCCTTGTCACTTTATCACTACATGGCACTGCCTTTACAACATTTACTCATCATAGCTCAAATTACTATAACATGATACTTCATTCATAATACATACCTTGCACTTCAAGCTAGAATAATCATTCTGCATTTTCTAGCAGCATATGGTCATCTGTTTAAAAAGGGAAAATCCATAAATGCAACCAAAAATACAATGTCTGAAAAATCAGTGACAGTAAATGAAATTCTACAAGTGAAAATACCTAGTCTCATTTGTTCCAAATATATTTTTCAACAGATCCAATATCTACACCCACACTTAATAATCTTGTTACAATTAGCCATTAAAAACCTTTATGTAACATGACATTAAGACCTACATACTTACCATTTGTATCAATTCCTTGCATTTTGGGTCTTGAAATAGGTGAGCATCCCTCTCAGTGCTTTTCCTATTGCTGGAAGGAGGGAGGGAGGCAGAGACAGAGGAGGATTAATGAATGTCCTATAAAACAAAAGTACTTCCATCACATAATAATCTAACTGCTCAGCTCTCATAATCATTGTACATTTGGCCACAACCATCAGCAGCTGATAAAGGACTTGGCAATACAGAATAGTCTGAATTGAGTTATGACAACTGTCACCTCACACATCACACTAAATTAAGCTGGACACAGTGCCTTTCCAACCAATGATGTTCACGCACCTCCACCTACACATTACTCACATAATAAATAGGTGTCCTTGACACTGTAAACAACAAGGATCCAAAAGGATGTCTGGTGTTCTGCCCCTCTTCTCAGAGGTTGACCTGCTAGACCTTCTCATGTCCCTTCTCTCAGACCTTCCCAGGGGCATCAGCCTCACTCTGACCCCTAGTGTGAGCTTGTGCTGCCTTGTCACTTTATCACTACACATGGAACTGCCTTTACAACATTTTACTCATCATAGCTCAACTAATATAATACCATGATACTTCATTCATAATACATACCTTGCACTTAAAACTGAAAAACTCATTCTGGATCTTCCATCACCATGCTATGGTGAATCTGTTTAAAATGCAAAGTCTATCAATGCAGGCTTAACAAAAACCTCAAAAGTCAATGATGGTAAACCAGTGGAACAGCAACTGTGAAATTCGAGTCCCATCATTTATTTCAAGTACATTTTTCAGTGGATCTAACATTTGCACCAATAGTTAATAATCATATTACAAAATATTCCCAATTCAAACCTTTATATACACAATAATAAGAACTGCATGCTTACCATGATTCTATTTCTTTTCTTCCTTGCATTTCCAATCTTGAAATAGAACTTGAGCATCTCTCACGGTGTTTTTCTTATTGCTGAAAATAACATGAGATTAATAAATGTTCTATAAATCACAAGTACTTCCAAAACTTTAAAAATCTAACTGCTCAGCTCTCATAATCATTGTACATTTGGCCAACAACCATCAGCAGCTGATAAAGGACTTGGCAATACAGAATAGTCTGAATTGAGTTATGACAACTGTCACCTCACACATCACACTAAATTAAGCTGGACACAGTGCCTTTCCAACCAATGATGTTCACGCATCTCCACCTACACATTACTCACATAATATATAGGTGTCCTTGACACTGTAAACAACAAGGATCCAAAAGGATGTCTGGTGTTCTGCCCTCTTCTCAGAGGTTGACCTGCTAGACCTTCTCATGTCCCTTCTCTCAGACCTTCCCAGGGGCAAATGTGGCATCAGCCTCACTCTGACCCCTAGTGTGAGCTTGTGCTGCCTTGTCACTTTATCACTACATGGCACTGCCTTTACAACATTTTACTCATCATAGCTCAAATTACTATACATGATACTTCATTCATAATACATACCTTGCACTTCAAGCTAGAATAATCATTCTGCATTTTCTAGCAGCATATGGTCATCTGTTTAAAAAGGGAAAATCCATAAATGCAACCAAAAATAAATGTCTGAAAAATCAGTGACAGTAAATGAAATTCTACAAGTGAAAATACCTAGTCTCATTGTTCCAATATATTTTTCAACAGATCCAATATCTACACCCACACTTAATAATCTTGTTACAATTAGCCATTAAAAACCTTTATGTAACATGACATTAAGACCTACATACCTTTTGTATCAATTCCTTGCATTTTGGGTCTTGAAATAGGTGAGCATCCCTCTCAGTGCTTTTCCTATTGCTGGAAGGAGGGAGGGAGGCAGAGACAGAGGAGGATTAATGAATGTCCTATAAAACAAAAGTACTTCCATCACATAATAATCTAACTGCTCAGCTCTCATAATCATTGTACATTTGGCCACAACCATCAGCAGCTGATAAAGGACTTGGCAATACAGAATAGTCTGAATTGAGTTATGACAACTGTCACCTCACACATCACACTAAATTAAGCTGGACACAGTGCCTTTCCAACCAATGATGTTCACGCACCTCCACCTACACATTACTCACATAATAAATAGGTGTCCTTGACACTGTAAACAACAAGGATCCAAAAGGATGTCTGGTGTTCTGCCCCTCTTCTCAGAGGTTGACCTGCTAGACCTTCTCATGTCCCTTCTCTCAGACCTTCCCAGGGGCATCAGCCTCACTCTGACCTCTAGTGTGAGCTTGTGCTGCCTTGTCACTTTATCACTACACATGGAACTGCCTTTACAACATTTTACTCATCATAGCTCAACTAATATAATACCATGATACTTCATTCATAATACATACCTTGCACTTAAAACTGAAAAACTCATTCTGGATCTTCCATCACCATGCTATGGTGAATCTGTTTAAAATGCAAAGTCTATCAATGCAGGCTTAACAAAAACCTCAAAAGTCAATGATGGTAAACCAGTGGAACAGCAACTGTGAAATTCGAGTCCCATCATTTATTTCAAGTACATTTTTCAGTGGATCTAACATTTGCACCAATAGTTAATAATCATATTACAAAATATTCCCAATTCAAACCTTTATATACACAATAATAAGAACTGCATGCTTACCATGATTCTATTTCTTTTCTTCCTTGCATTTCCAATCTTGAAATAGAACTTGAGCATCTCTCACTGTTTTTCTTATTGCTGAAAATAACATGAGATTAATAAATGTTCTATAAATCACAAGTACTTCCAAAACTTTAAAAATCTAACTGCTCAGCTCTCATAATCATTGTACATTTGGCCAACAACCATCAGCAGCTGATAAAGGACTTGGCAATACAGAATAGTCTGAATTGAGTTATGACAACTGTCACCTCACACATCACACTAAATTAAGCTGGACACAGTGCCTTTCCAACCAATGATGTTCACGCATCTCCACCTACACATTACTCACATAATATATAGGTGTCCTTGACACTGTAAACAACAAGGATCCAAAAGGATGTCTGGTGTTCTGCCCCTCTTCTCAGAGGTTGACCTGCTAGACCTTCTCATGTCCCTTCTCTCAGACCTTCCCAGGGGCAAATGTGGCATCAGCCTCACTCTGACCCCTAGTGTGAGCTTGTGCTGCCTTGTCACTTTATCACTACATGGCACTGCCTTTACAACATTTTACTCATCATAGCTCAAATTACTATCATGATACTTCATTCATAATACATACCTTGCACTTCAAGCTAGAATAATCATTCTGCATTTTCTAGCAGCATATGGTCATCTGTTTAAAAAGGAAAATCCATAAATGCAACCAAAAACAATGTCTGAAAAATCAGTGACAGTAAATGAAATTCTACAAGTGAAAATACCTAGTCTCATTTGTTCCAAATATATTTTTCAACAGATCCAATATCTACACCCACACTTAATAATCTTGTTACAATTAGCCATTAAAAACCTTTATGTAACATGACATTAAGACCTACATACCATTTGTATCAATTCCTTGCATTTTGGGTCTTGAAATAGGTGAGCATCCCTCTCAGTGCTTTTCCTATTGCTGGAAGGAGGGAGGGAGGCACAGACAGAGGAGGATTAATGAATGTCCTATAAAACAAAAGTACTTCCATCACATAATAATCTAACTGCTCAGCTCTCATAATCATTGTACATTTGGCCCACAACCATCAGCAGCTGATAAAGGACTTGGCAATACAGAATAGTCTGAATTGAGTTATGACAACTGTCACCTCACACATCACACTAAATTAAGCTGGACACAGTGCCTTTCCAACCAATGATGTTCACGCACCTCCACCTACACATTACTCACATAATAAATAGGTGTCCTTGACACTGTAAACAACAAGGATCCAAAAGGATGTCTGGTGTTCTGCCCCTCTTCTCAGAGGTTGACCTGCTAGACCTTCTCATGTCCCTTCTCTCAGACCTTCCCAGGGCATCAGCCTCACTCTGACCCTAGTGTGAGCTTGTGCTGCCTTGTCACTTTATCACTACACATGGAACTGCCTTTACAACATTTTACTCATCATAGCTCAACTAATATAATACCATGATACTTCATTCATAATACATACCTTGCACTTAAAACTGAAAAACTCATTCTGGATCTTCCATCACCATGCTATGGTGAATCTGTTTAAAATGCAAAGTCTATCAATGCAGGCTTAACAAAAACCTCAAAAGTCAATGATGGTAAACCAGTGGAACAGCAACTGTGAAATTCGAGTCCCATCATTTATTTCAAGTACATTTTTCAGTGGATCTAACATTTGCACCAATAGTTAATAATCATATTACAAAATATTCCCAATTCAAACCTTTATATACACAATAATAAGAACTGCATGCTTACCATGATTCTATTTCTTTTCTTCCTTGCATTTCCAATCTTGAAATAGAACTTGAGCATCTCTCACGGTGTTTTCTTATTGCTGAAAATAACATGAGATTAATAAATGTTCTATAAATCACAAGTACTTCCAAAACTTTAAAAATCTAACTGCTCAGCTCTCATAATCATTGTACATTTGGCCAACAACCATCAGCAGCTGATAAAGGACTTGGCAATACAGAATAGTCTGAATTGAGTTATGACAACTGTCACCTCACACATCACACTAAATTAAGCTGGACACAGTGCCTTTCCAACCAATGATGTTCACGCATCTCCACCTACACATTACTCACATAATATATAGGTGTCCTTGACACTGTAAACAACAAGGATCCAAAAGGATGTCTGGTGTTCTGCCCCTCTTCTCAGAGGTTGACCTGCTAGACCTTCTCATGTCCCTTCTCTCAGACCTTCCCAGGGGCAAATGTGGCATCAGCCTCACTCTGACCCCTAGTGTGAGCTTGTGCTGCCTTGTCACTTTATCACTACATGGCACTGCCTTTACAACATTTTACTCATCATAGCTCAAATTACTATAACATGATACTTCATTCATAATACATACCTTGCACTTCAAGCTAGAATAATCATTCTGCATTTTCTAGCAGCATATGGTCATCTGTTTAAAAAGGGAAAATCCATAAATGCAACCAAAAATACAATGTCTGAAAAATCAGTGACAGTAAATGAAATTCTACAAGTGAAAATACCTAGTCTCATTTGTTCAAATATATTTTTCAACAGATCCAATATCTACACCCACACTTAATAATCTTGTTACAATTAGCCATTAAAAACCTTTATGTAACATGACATTAAGACCTACATACTTACCATTTGTATCAATTCCTTGCATTTTGGGTCTTGAAATAGGTGAGCATCCTCTCAGTGCTTTTCCTATTGCTGGAAGGAGGGAGGGAGGCAGAGACAGAGGAGGATTAATGAATGTCCTATAAACAAAAGTACTTCCATCACATAATAATCTAACTGCTCAGCTCTCATAATCATTGTACATTTGGCCCACAACCATCAGCAGCTGATAAAGGACTTGGCAATACAGAATAGTCTGAATTGAGTTATGACAACTGTCACCTCACACATCACACTAAATTAAGCTGGACACAGTGCCTTTCCAACCAATGATGTTCACGCACCTCCACCTACACATTACTCACATAATAAATAGGTGTCCTTGACACTGTAAACAACAAGGATCCAAAAGGATGTCTGGTGTTCTGCCCCTCTTCTCAGAGGTTGACCTGCTAGACCTTCTCATGTCCCTTCTCTCAGACCTTCCCAGGGGCATCAGCCTCACTCTGACCCCTAGTGTGAGCTTGTGCTGCCTTGTCACTTTATCACTACACATGGAACTGCCTTTACAACATTTTACTCATCATAGCTCAACTAATATAATACCATGATACTTCATTCATAATACATACCTTGCACTTAAAACTGAAAAACTCATTCTGGATCTTCCATCACCATGCTATGGTGAATCTGTTTAAAATGCAAAGTCTATCAATGCAGGCTTAACAAAAACCTCAAAAGTCAATGATGGTAAACCAGTGGAACAGCAACTGTGAAATTCGAGTCCCATCATTTATTTCAAGTACATTTTTCAGTGGATCTAACATTTGCACCAATAGTTAATAATCATATTACAAAATATTCCCAATTCAAACCTTTATATACACAATAATAAGAACTGCATGCTTACCATGATTCTATTTCTTTTCTTCCTTGCATTTCCAATCTTGAAATAGAACTTGAGCATCTCTCACGGTGTTTTTCTTATTGCTGAAAATAACATGAGATTAATAAATGTTCTATAAATCACAAGTACTTCCAAAACTTTAAAAATCTAACTGCTCAGCTCTCATAATCATTGTACATTTGGCCAACAACCATCAGCAGCTGATAAAGGACTTGGCAATACAGAATAGTCTGAATTGAGTTATGACAACTGTCACCTCACACATCACACTAAATTAAGCTGGACACAGTGCCTTTCCAACCAATGATGTTCACGCATCTCCACCTACACATTACTCACATAATATATAGGTGTCCTTGACACTGTAAACAACAAGGATCCAAAAGGATGTCTGGTGTTCTGCCCCTCTTCTCAGAGGTTGACCTGCTAGACCTTCTCATGTCCCTTCTCTCAGACCTTCCCAGGGGCAAATGTGGCATCAGCCTCACTCTGACCCCTAGTGTGAGCTTGTGCTGCCTTGTCACTTTATCACTACATGGCACTGCCTTTACAACATTTTACTCATCATAGCTCAAATTACTATAACATGATACTTCATTCATAATACATACCTTGCACTTCAAGCTAGAATAATCATTCTGCATTTTCTAGCAGCATATGGTCATCTGTTTAAAAAGGGAAAATCCATAAATGCAACCAAAATACAATGTCTGAAAAATCAGTGACAGTAAATGAAACTACAAGTGAAAATACCTAGTCTCATTTGTTCCAAATATATTTTTCAACAGATCCAATATCTACACCCACACTTAATAATCTTGTTACAATTAGCCATTAAAAACCTTTATGTAACATGACATTAAGACCTACATACTTACCATTTGTATCAATTCCTTGCATTTTGGGTCTTGAAATAGGTGAGCATCCCTCTCAGTGCTTTTCCTATTGCTGGAAGGAGGGAGGGAAGAGACAGAGGAGATTAATGAATGTCCTCTAAAAAACAAAGTACTTCCATCACATAATAATCTAACTGCTCAGCTCTCATAATCATTGTACATTTGGCCACAACCATCAGCAGCTGATAAAGGACTTGGCAATACAGAATAGTCTGAATTGAGTTATGACAACTGTCACCTCACACATCACACTAAATTAAGCTGGACACAGTGCCTTTCCAACCAATGATGTTCACGCACCTCCACCTACACATTACTCACATAATAAATAGGTGTCCTTGACACTGTAAACAACAAGGATCCAAAGGGTGTCTGGTGTTCTGCCCCTCTTCTCAGAGGTTGACCTGCTAGACCTTCTCATGTCCCTTCTCTCAGACCTTCCCAGGGGCGGCATCAGCCTCACTCTGACCCTAGTGTGAGCTTGTGCTGCCTTGTCACTTTATCACTACACATGGAACTGCCTTTACAACATTTTACTCATCATAGCTCAACTAATATAATACCATGATACTTCATTCATAATACATACCTTGCACTTAAAACTGAAAAACTCATTCTGGATCTTCCATCACCATGCTATGGTGAATCTGTTTAAAATGCAAAGTCTATCAATGCAGGCTTAACAAAAAACTCAAAAGTCAATGATGGTAAACCAGTGGAACAGCAACTGTGAAATTCGAGTCCCATCATTTATTTCAAGTACATTTTTCAGTGGATCTAACATTTGCACCAATAGTTAATAATCATATTACAAAATATTCCCAATTCAAACCTTTATATACACAATAATAAGAACTGCATGCTTACCATGATTCTATTTCTTTTCTTCCTTGCATTTCCAATCTTGAAATAGAACTTGAGCATCTCTCACGGTGTTTTTCTTATTGCTGAAAATAACATGAGATTAATAAATGTTCTATAAATCACAAGTACTTCCAAAACTTTAAAAATCTAACTGCTCAGCTCTCATAATCATTGTACATTTGGCCAACAACCATCAGCAGCTGATAAAGGACTTGGCAATACAGAATAGTCTGAATTGAGTTATGACAACTGTCACCTCACACATCACACTAAATTAAGCTGGACACAGTGCCTTTCCAACCAATGATGTTCACGCATCTCCACCTACACATTACTCACATAATATATAGGTGTCCTTGACACTGTAAACAACAAGGATCCAAAAGGATGTCTGGTGTTCTGCCCCTCTTCTCAGAGGTTGACCTGCTAGACCTTCTCATGTCCCTTCTCTCAGACCTTCCCAGGGGCAAATGTGGCATCAGCCTCACTCTGACCCCTAGTGTGAGCTTGTGCTGCCTTGTCACTTTATCACTACATGGCACTGCCTTTACAACATTTTACTCATCATAGCTCAAATTACTATAACATGATACTTCATTCATAATACATACCTTGCACTTCAAGCTAGAATAATCATTCTGCATTTTCTAGCAGCATATGGTCATCTGTTTAAAAGGGAAAATCCATAAATGCAACCAAAAATACTCTGAAAAATCAGTGACAGTAAATGAAATTCTACAAGTGAAAATACCTAGTCTCATTTGTTCCAAATATATTTTTCAATAGATCCAATATCTACACCCACACTTAATCTTGTTACAATTAGCCATTAAAAACCTTTATGTAACATGACATTAAGACCTACATACTTACCATTTGTATCAATTCCTTGCATTTTGGGTCTTGAAATAGGTGAGCATCCCTCTCAGTGCTTTTCCTATTGCTGGAAGGAGGGAGGGAGGCAGAGACAGAGGAGGATTAATGAATGTCCTATAAAACAAAAGTACTTCCATCACATAATAATCTAACTGCTCAGCTCTCATAATCATTGTACATTTGGCCCACAACCATCAGCAGCTGATAAAGGACTTGGCAATACAGAATAGTCTGAATTGAGTTATGACAACTGTCACCTCACACATCACACTAAATTAAGCTGGACACAGTGCCTTTCCAACCAATGATGTTCACGCACCTCCACCTACACATTACTCACATAATAAATAGGTGTCCTTGACACTGTAAACAACAAGGATCCAAAAGGATGTCTGGTGTTCTGCCCCTCTTCTCAGAGGTTGACCTGCTAGACCTTCTCATGTCCCTTCTCTCAGACCTTCCCAGGGGCATCAGCCTCACTCTGACCCCTAGTGTGAGCTTGTGCTGCCTTGTCACTTTATCACTACACATGGAACTGCCTTTACAACATTTTACTCATCATAGCTCAACTAATATAATACCATGATACTTCATTCATAATACATACCTTGCACTTAAAACTGAAAAACTCATTCTGGATCTTCCATCACCATGCTATGGTGAATCTGTTTAAAATGCAAAGTCTATCAATGCAGGCTTAACAAAAACCTCAAAAGTCAATGATGGTAAACCAGTGGAACAGCAACTGTGAAATTCGAGTCCCATCATTTATTTCAAGTACATTTTTCAGTGGATCTAACATTTGCACCAATAGTTAATAATCATATTACAAAATATTCCCAATTCAAACCTTTATATACACAATAATAAGAACTGCATGCTTACCATGATTCTATTTCTTTTCTTCCTTGCATTTCCAATCTTGAAATAGAACTTGAGCATCTCTCACTGTTTTTCTTATTGCTGAAAATAACATGAGATTAATAAATGTTCTATAAATCACAAGTACTTCCAAACTTTAAAAATCTAACTGCTCAGCTCTCATAATCATTGTACATTTGGCCAACAACCATCAGCAGCTGATAAAGGACTTGGCAATACAGAATAGTCTGAATTGAGTTATGACAACTGTCACCTCACACATCACACTAAATTAAGCTGGACACAGTGCCTTTCCAACCAATGATGTTCACGCATCTCCACCTACACATTACTCACATAATATATAGGTGTCCTTGACACTGTAAACAACAAGGATCCAAAAGGATGTCTGGTGTTCTGCCCCTCTTCTCAGAGGTTGACCTGCTAGACCTTCTCATGTCCCTTCTCTCAGACCTTCCCAGGGGCAAATGTGGCATCAGCCTCACTCTGACCCCTAGTGTGAGCTTGTGCTGCCTTGTCACTTTATCACTACATGGCACTGCCTTTACAACATTTTACTCATCATAGCTCAAATTACTATAACATGATACTTCATTCATAATACATACCTTGCACTTCAAGCTAGAATAATCATTCTGCATTTTCTAGCAGCATATGGTCATCTGTTTAAAAAGGGAAAATCCATAAATGCAACCAAAAATACAATGTCTGAAAAATCAGTGACAGTAAATGAAATTCTACAAGTGAAAATACCTAGTCTCATTTGTTCCAAATATATTTTTCAACAGATCCAATATCTACACCCACACTTAATAATCTTGTTACAATTAGCCATTAAAAACCTTTATGTAACATGACATTAAGACCTACATACTTACCATTTGTATCAATTCCTTGCATTTTGGGTCTTGAAATAGGTGAGCATCCCTCTCAGTGCTTTTCCTATTGCTAGGAGGATTAATGAATGTCTATAAAAACAAAAGTACTTCCATCACATAAAAATCTAACTGCTCAGCTCTCATAATCATTGTACATTTGGCCCACAACCATCAGCAGCTGATAAAGGACTTGGCAATACAGAATAGTCTGAATTGAGTTATGACAACTGTCACCTCACACATCACACTAAATTAAGCTGGACACAGTGCCTTTCCAACCAATGATGTTCACGCACCTCCACCTACACATTACTCACATAATAAATAGGTGTCCTTGACACAGTAAACAACAAGGATCCAAAAGGATGTCTGGTGTTCTGCCCCTCTTCTCAGAGGTTGACCTGCTAGACCTTCTCATGTCCCTTCTCTCAGACCTTCCCAGGGGCAAATGTGGCATCAGCCTCACTCTGACCCCTAGTGTGAGCTTGTGCTGCCTTGTCACTTTATCACTACACATGGAACTGCCTTTACAACATTTTACTCATCATAGCTCAACTAATATAATACCATGATACTTCATTCATAATACATACCTTGCACTTAAAACTGAAAAACTCATTCTGGATCTTCCATCACCATGCTATGGTGAATCTGTTTAAAATGCAAAGTCTATCAATGCAGGCTTAACAAAAACCTCAAAAGTCAATGATGGTAAACCTGGAACAGCAACTGTGAAATTCGAGTCCCATCATTTATTTCAAGTACATTTTTCAGTGGATCTAACATTTGCACCAATAGTTAATAATCATATTACAAAATATTCCCAATTCAAACCTTTATATACACAATAATAAGAACTGCATGCTTACCATGATTCTATTTCTTTTCTTCCTTGCATTTCCAATCTTGAAATAGAACTTGAGCATCTCTCACGTGTTTTTCTTATTGCTGAAAATAACATGAGATTAATAAATGTTCTATAAATCACAAGTACTTCCAAAACTTTAAAAATCTAACTGCTCAGCTCTCATAATCATTGTACATTTGGCCACAACCATCAGCAGCTGATAAAGGACTTGGCAATACAGAATAGTCTGAATTGAGTTATGACAACTGTCACCTCACACATCACACTAAATTAAGCTGGACACAGTGCCTTTCCAACCAATGATGTTCACGCATCTCCACCTACACATTACTCACATAATATATAGGTGTCCTTGACACTGTAAACAACAAGGATCCAAAAGGATGTCTGGTGTTCTGCCCCTCTTCTCAGAGGTTGACCTGCTAGACCTTCTCATGTCCCTTCTCTCAGACCTTCCCAGGGGCAAATGTGGCATCAGCCTCACTCTGACCCCTAGTGTGAGCTTGTGCTGCCTTGTCACTTTATCACTACATGGCACTGCCTTTACAACATTTTACTCATCATAGCTCAAATATATAACATGATACTTCATTCATAATACATACCTTGCACTTAAAGCTGAAAACTCATTCTGATTTCTACCAGCTATGGTGAATCTGTTTAAAAAGGGAAAATCCATAAATGCAACCAAAAATACAATGTCTGAAAAATCAGTGACAGTAAATGAAATTCTACAAGTGAAAATACCTAGTCTCATTTGTTCCAAATATATTTTTCAATAGATCCAATATTACACCAATACTTAATAATCTTGTTACAATTTGCCATTAAAAACCTTTATGTAACATAGCATTAAGAACTACATACTTAATATTTGTATCTATTCCTTGCATTTTGGGTCTTGAAATAGGTGAGCATCCCTCTCAGTGCTTTTCCTATTGCTGAAAATAACATGAGATTAATAAATGTTCTATAAAACAAAAGTACTTCCAAAACTTTAAAAATCTAACTGCTCAGCTCTCATAATCATTGTACATTTGGCCAACAACCATCAGCAGCTGATAAAGGACTTGGCAATACAGAATAGTCTGAATTGAGTTATGACAACTGTCACCTCACACATCACACTAAATTAAGCTGGACACAGTGCCTTTCCAACCAATGATGTTCACGCATCTCCACCTACACATTACTCACATAATATATAGGTGTCCTTGACACTGTAAACAACAAGGATCCAAAAGGATGTCTGGTGTTCTGCCCTCTTTCTCAGAGGTTGACCTGCTAGACCTTCTCATGTCCCTTCTCTCAGACCTTCCCAGGGGCAAATGTGGCATCAGCCTCACTCTGACCCCTAGTGTGAGCTTGTGCTGCCTTGTCACTTTATCACTACATGGCACTGCCTTTACAACATTTTACTCATCATAGCTCAAATTACTATAACATGATACTTCATTCATAATACATACCTTGCACTTCAAGCTAGAATAATCATTCTGCATTTTTCTAGCAGCATATGGTCATCTGTTTTAAAAAGGAAAATCCATAAATGCAACCAAAAATACAATGTCTGAAAAATCAGTGACAGTAAATGAAATTCTACAAGTGAAAATACCTAGTCTCATTTGTTCCAAATATATTTTTCAACAGATCCAATATCTACACCCACACTTAATAATCTTGTTACAATTAGCCATTAAAAACCTTTATGTAACATGACATTAAGACCTACATACTTACCATTTGTATCAATTCCTTGCATTTTGGGTCTTGAAATAGGTGAGCATCCCTCTCAGTGCTTTTCCTATTGCTGGAAGGAGGGAGGGAGGCAGAGACAGAGGAGGATTAATGAATGTCCTATAAAACAAAAGTACTTCCATCACATAATAATCTAACTGCTCAGCTCTCATAATCATTGTACATTTGGCCCACAACCATCAGCAGCTGATAAAGGACTTGGCAATACAGAATAGTCTGAATTGAGTTATGACAACTGTCACCTCACACATCACACTAAATTTAAGCTGGACACAGTGCCTTTCCAACCAATGATGTTCACGCACCTCCACCTACACATTACTCACATAATAAATAGTGTCCTTGACACTGTAAACTCAAGGATCCAAAAGGTGT